ATAAGCCAGAATTCCAAGATTTGTCGACCCAGCCGGCTCGGGCTCCAATTTGTCTCCACTGACCGGGGAAAAATCGTGCGAAAAATCACGCGGGGCCGGCGGAGCGAGGGGGGTAAGTGGCGCTTCGTCGGGCCTCGAGGTTCCTGGCGCTCAGATTCCCCCTCCGGGGGGAGCTTCCAACTCCTCCTGGCCTTATATTGGAGGAGATTCTCCCTCCACCGGGATAAATCCGAAAAACTGAGCCGGCAGAAATCCCGGGAGGTAACACGACGGGTCGCGCGGGGTGTGCAATTAGGCAGATGAAAAGTTTGCCGCCCGCGGGATCCATGGTCACCGCCGAGGAGAAGCTGGAATCGAACGGGTTAACCCAGGCTGAAAAGGTGGCGTTGAAGCGTTGCGTGACGCATTTGCGGCCAAGGTAGCCATGTACTAACTGTGACAGAGGTTCGCGCTGATTCCGGATCTGGCCTCAGGGCAGGTCGGATCAGGTATTTTTGAAAAAAACTTCCCAATTTATTAGTTTTTGTCTTAATTGGTCATAGTCTTTTTTGACTTTAAAATGTTGAAATGTCGCTATTCCACAAACTCGCGAAATAGATCCGGACTCTGCAACAAATTTTTACGAAGTATAGGCCAGGTTCCAAAATCTAAAAAACTTAGTCGTTTTTTCGTAGGCCTAGTGAAGTAGCAAAGAGATGCTTTACACTATGGGCTTGCTTGCAAGCTTTAAAAAAATGTAGCCATGTGAGGTCTACCCCTTTAAAATGACGAAGAAGACGGCTCTGGCATCCAGAATATAGGGGGTTTGAAATAAATCCATCTCCGGTCCAATTCGGCAGGGAATGAAACGAATGGGCAGCGGAAGCTAATGCATAGTGTTTCTCGAAGGGGTGGGAGAAGAAGGTGGAGGGGCCCTAACGAGGCAACGCCGGCTCCGAGATGCACCCTCACTCTTCCCTTTCGAAAAGCCAACATGGCGTACAGCATAATTAACTCAATTCTGCCCTAGATTCGTGAGACGTTAACGCTAGCTCGCAGGGGCCAGTGTGAAGTGTGGCACATCAAGGGGCCCACCCCAGCCGCAATCCGGGCATGAAGCCAGAATATCAATACTTCTGGCCCTTGGGAGGGGGCATTGATGGGGAAAACACTTATGCGTATGCCCGGGTTGTGTGTACGCGCAAGCCAGAGGGCGTACTTTGGGGAAAGATGGATGAATTGGGCAAGTTGGTGGAAGAGACAGGGGGCCAAGGGCCTTGGCAGCGCAAAGGCCCACTGAGGGTGGTGCGCGGCCTGAGGAGAGCACTGGGCCAGTTTTTGGCCCGTCAGCAGAAGGCTTGGATCTCAGCGAAAAAGGGGCGGACCCGATTACCGGCTCGTCGAACATGATTTCCCCCAAAAGAGGAACACACAAAAGCTTTTCTTGCTCAAGTGCAAAAGTGTCCAGATGAAAAGAGGCGTGTTCTGACCCTTACGCGCCACTTGAATGTGACCAAGGGAGTACTCTTTTTTAAAACCCCATAAATAAAAATGACATCCTGGTCAAAATCGGTGAAGACCTCCAGTGTCCCATGGGCATCGCGAGCACCACCCTGAAGTATAAAGATTCCGCACTGGGTATTGAGCTTCACCGCCCATGGAGTCTCATATTTCCAGCCCGTGTGCGAAATGGGAGAAAAGAGCCTCGCCGCCCCTGAAAGATTTAGCAAAATCCAATTCTGCGCCTCAATGCTTGTCCCGTGTCCAGCTTCCGCCCAAAAATTCAGTCTGCCTGCTGCTAGCCCCGTTGTGACCGCTCAAAGGCAAAGGGGCTTTATCAGGGAAGGTCTCATGGGTTTCATCACAACAAAGGAAAAATTACATTTAGCAAAAACACCGGTATAAAATTTAATTGGAGTTTTTAATCACTGTTGTTTCGGAGCACCTGTGCGGGCGGCTTCTTTGCGGGCTGCTTCCTCGGCCTCGGTGGCTTGACGCTCAGCTTCCACAACCTAAAGAAATGAAAATCTTAGGAATTAGATTAGGCAAATACCTTTAGGAGGCCATCAACTTCCTCGGTAGTCAACACCCGCTGGTGGCATTCGCCAGGCTAAAAAGAAGTATTAAATAATGGTGGGAATGCTTACCTTTCCCGTGGCAGATGTCATCACAGCAATCTCGATGTTGCTAGCCCCAGATGGAACGACCTATATTTTGCTAAATAAATCCGACTACATGAAGCATACCTGTGAGAGCGCCTTTACTACCAGCTTGAGAGTAGCCGCCTCGTCTTGCACGTTTTCGTCATTGTACTTCTCTTCCAGGAACTCGCGAACAGCTTTTTCGCCACGGCCGGTCGAATTTGCCTAGAAAATGGTTCTTAGAAGAGTGTCAGAACCTTACGGAAGGTGGAATTCATAGTATGCACCGCTTGGCTCGGTCTTGTAGAGACGCGGGCGGCCATCGTAGTCGAAACCGGCGACGACAGCATTGCGATTCCGAATGGACGGCTTCCAGGGGATTGCGTGAAGCGCTACAGAGCAATCAAAAAACAACGCAATAAGACGGACCTGCTTAGTGTCAGCGACGTATCGGGAAATATAGTGCACAGTCACAGGATCCTCAAGGCGCAGCTTGTATGATTGGCACTCCATGCGAGCACGGTCGACAAGCACACGTGCATCCGCCGACAGGCCTAGGGAAAGAGTGATAAATTAAACATCACAATAATTACCAGCAAAGGCAAGCATGATATGATCGTCAATCATATGAATTTTGCGCACAGTTCGGTCATCCTGAAGAAGGAAAGAAGAGTGCAATATAAAGTAGCGATACCTGTAGAGTGGGAATCGTCTTCTTCTCCACGCCGATGACGACACAGTTCTTCCCGCGCACTCCAACCTAAAAAAGTGAATGAATGAGAGAAGCAAATCTACCGCAGTGGATCCCTTCTTGACCGCCTCGTTTGCGTATTCGACTTGGAAGAGATGGCCGTCCGGCGAGAAGATGGTGATAGCACGGTCGTAACGCTCCATCTAAAATGGGTTATGTGATGACAATCAGAGAACGAAGCGGATAGAATTGAGAGAGAACATCAAGATTATGGGCAGCAGAAAGCTTCTTTTCTATCTTTTCGCAATTCAGATGACAAAAGAAAAAGTGAAGTGTATTGTAAAGGAATTCTGTATGGCTAGAAAGAGAAAATGGAAATTGAAAGCGAACAAGAGAAATCAAGAAC